TCGCCATTGTTGAAGATCTTAGAGTCTGATAAGGCTCTTTTGTGCGTGTGGCCAAAAGGGTAATGCTTGGATTCTGGCATTGGCTTTGTGTAGGCCGCTAAACCTCCTGAAAACCGCCATATCCCAGAAGCTGAAACGAAGTTCGGACTTCAGAGCATCGCCATTGAAGTATCGAACAAGAGAGCGTGAGGCAGTGGCAGAGCTTCTGACTTCAACAAGCGGCTCAGATTTGTTTTCAAGTAAATAGGCTAAACCAAATAATTAGCAGCTTAGCAAACCCCAAACACTCAGCAGCTCAGGCCGGGTAAAATCTGGTAGCGCGTAGGGGAATTTTCTGGTGGGTGTACAAATGTTTTAATGAATTAAATCTAATCCGTTATTTTTGTTGACTAATCAACCAAGGGCTGAGATGATTTTGAGAATTGGACTGGATATTTTGGGCTTGGGTTTGGTTTAAAATATTTGGGCTTAGGCCCATTGCAGGGGTAAGTTGCACATGAAATGGGGCCCACTCAAATTGCTTATGGATGTTTGATTTCGTAAGTGCAGGGAGCTTAAGGGGAGGGATCCCCATTTTTTCAAAAAAAATGGGGACACGCTCCCCACCGTTAGATTGACTTTAATGAAATTGTGTGGTTGAGATTAAAACACAGGCCATAGAATCTCAACCACAGGATTTCATTTAATTCAAATCCAACGGTGGGGAGCGTGTCCCCATTTTTTTGAAAAAATGGGGATCCCTCCCCTTAAGCAATTCCTCGTAAGTGTTAGCAAACGAAATCAAACTGTATCAAAATAATTTTGTTGTTTTTTTTTTTTTGAGAAACTGAAAACATTACACAGCCAGGAAAACTAATAATCAAAATAAAATTAGTGCACGTTCAGATAATGAGAAAGTATTATAATTTAATAATAGGAAAAATTAGAACCTCTTACCGTTTTTCTATATCATTTAGATTAAACATCTGTACCTTTTTACAATTTGATTAAAGTACTTTGACCAATAGTCATCTCTATTTTTTAAAATTAAAATAATTTTTGAATTTATCATTTTATCTGCATGATGCACTTTTCCTTATTTAGTGAAGATATTATTAATTAAACTATATTTTCTCTTCTTCCAAATATGTTGTTTCGATCACTTTTTGTTTGTTATGCAAACATTTAATATTATTTCTTTTTCCAAATGGTTTTTTTCTTCTTCCAAATTGTAACATCTCACATCGTCAAAGGGAGTGGATCTTGTAAGTCGTATATGTATATTCCCATATCTACCTAGTACAAGACATTTTGGGAGCTCACTAGCTTCGGGTTCCATCGGAACTTCGAAGTTAAGCAAGTTCGGGCGAGATCGTTCCCAGGATGGGTGACCCACTAAGAAGTTCTCGCGTGAATTCCCATAAACAAAACCGTGAGGGCGTGGTTGGGGCCCAAAGCGGACAATATCGTGCTACGGTGGAGTCGAGCTCAGGATGTGATGGGGGCCCAAGCCGTGCTGTGACACAAATAGTTGGTGATCAATATAAAAGCTCCATGTAATTTTTTCAATTTTTTGTGAAATTATATTTTTTTTTGCTGTTTTTTTTAAGTATAGTTGTTGACGAATTATTATTAGGTACAATACATTACGTATATATTATCTGCGGGTACGTTTGAATTTACAAAAATCATTAATTGATACGTTTATTTGCAATTTTGGTACATTTAATTTGATACATATTGTTAATATTGGTACATTATTTTTATGCTGGTATGTTTTATTTTGTACACATTGTGTATTGGTACATTTATATTATTCTCTATCTTATTTTCTCTTAACGTACTAAAAGAAAAACTTATTTTGGTACGTTTGATTTTGGGGTATTTAAAAATATTTTAAACTTTTTTGGAAAGAAAATATCTTAAATCGTAGATAATTATTGCTAAATTGTAGCATTATTGTGAAAATAATTTTGAATCTAACCATTTTTTTTTTTGACAATTATCTCTAACGAAGGAGAGTGTAATTAAAAGGCTAGATTATAGGAAATTTGTTACAATACAATGTGCATATAGCATCAAAATTATGACAAAAAAAAATTTAATTAAATCACTAAAAGACATAGATGTTTGATCTAGAAAATTCAAAACTGAAGTGCCTATATCAAAAGATCCCTTAATAATATGTCACGCCATTTATCAAAAATATGATGTACATGTCTTGTCATTAGAATAACTTCTCGCTTACCAAAATATTCGCTTTGGTAGTAGTTTAGCTATTGTTAATTCTATATTAATCTTTACCTGCGACGGAGTGATGAGCTACAAAATAAAAGTGAAAGCATACATGAACAAGATTAACCAAATTGCCTGAGCAAAAACTGACAAATTAACAAAGTGTGGGGTGTGGAATTTAATAAGAATCTCACTAAATATGTATTAGCAATATAAAATTGCATTTTCCAAATTGAACCCCAAGTGATTCACTGGAATTACCAAATTGACACTGCCCACTTTTCCACTGGCTAGTAAAAGTAGAACTCGATTGAGATAATTGCAAGCGCTTTTTAAATAAAATATTTTTTTAATTAATTTTAATAGACATGTAAATTAATTATAAAATAAATATTTATAATACTCCTCCGCAAATGATTTTAAAACCTAAAAATATTTTATATAAAAAATGAATTCAGTCGTTTAAAAGCACTTTCCACTAGTTCGTACTAATCAAACAAAAACCACTGTCTTGGCATTCAGTAGCCAAACGACATCGTACATGACGCCCATACAATCATTTATTAACCAATTGCAGCTTATTTGTTCCCACCCTGACCTTGCAGCAGAAAATTCACGTGAAAATGGCCAGTCCCCCACATTCTCTTGCAATTATCAATCCCACCCCCGACATTGCATCCGATGAGCACTGACACTCTTCACTCTTCTCCATCCTCACCGTCCACGTGTCCTCAACCCAACACGTTCATATAGCGAAATTTTGTTATATACTACATGACAATCGCGTATTAGACGAGTAGCACATTTTTTGCCATGTAATAACTTTTTATTGGATGGTATCAACATTAAGATTAAATATTAGTTGCATGAGAGAATCAATCTCTCTTTATCAAAGATTATTTTTTTGTGATACTATAATATCATACGAAAAAAAAGCTTATACATATTACTGAATTATTGGTACGTTATATTATAATATAGAAGTCTCATGAAAGTTCTTAATTTTTCAATGTACACCAGACGCCATCACCAATTGCACTTCACTCAAATTATGAGATTTGGCAGCAATGCTTAAAAGTATTTTAACAATGTTACCGTTTGACGGTCAGATATGTTATAATGACATTTAGTGAGAATATTTTTTTTAAAGTCAAATAGTGATTATACTAAATGGAGGCAGATTGTCTGCCCTCTTGTTATGGTGCCCTTTCCATCCCTTCCAATTTGTGCAGTCACGGTTAAGTTACGTCAACATTTTATATTCCTATTACTTTTTGTCTTATTATCTTTATAAAAAAAAAATTCAATATAAAATGTTAACGTGGCTTAACCGTGACTGCACAAATAAAAGGGGATGTGAAGGGCATTATAACAAGAGGGCAGACAATTTACCTCCATACTAAATAATGTGGTTAGCCTCATATATCCATAAAACCTGAAATGAAATGGGGTGGTGATAGCACACACCTATTTTTACTTATCATAAACCCCTTTCAATTTTTTGGTTGTCAAATCGAATCAATAACAGAAGATTAACAAGGATGTGTGCGAGGTAAAAATAAGTGTGTGAATAACATTTTTCCAATGAAATGATGGTGTGTTCTTAATACGCAATGAAAGATTTATAGTGGGACCAAGGTGGTCTACAAACCATAAAGAGTTCGAAAAATATATATGTGAAGCTTTTCGAGGACATTTCAAATGTTTGGTATGAATTCCTTTTATATTTACCAAATATTTGATGTAATGTCTGTTAGGAATATAATGGCAGCAACACTCAATAAGTTGCGTTGAAAGCACTTTACAAAATGTTCTCGATAGCACTCATTAAATTACTTTGATATATGTCAATACTTATGACGTGTAATAAGGTTCGGCTGACAACAATAAACTCATCAAACAAATTGACACACTTCACACTTTATTTCTATTAAAAAAACTTAAACGGTTAACATTAAGATCTCTCGATTCTAAACAGGACCTTGTCAATACAACACAAATATTTCTACCGTCAGCTAGTTACCGTTTAAAAGGTCTGAAAGGACAACCGTATTTCAAAATCTTTTCACTGTCTGGGAAGCAGCAGTTACAATATTTCCCTGTGGGCTTTTACCGAAACTCTGCCCAAAATTCCTCTTGTGTGAGAAGTGACGACGGTAAAGGTGAAGTGTTAAAGTTGTAGCTTTTTACTAACTTGGCAGTTTGCTTTCCAAAAAAAAGCTTGGCAGTTTTCTCGGTAAAAATACAGTCCACAAATTCCCAGGTAAATTCGTTTTCTAATAAGTCCATTTACTACTGTTAACACCATGCATTTCTTTTAAGTATTTTAATGGCGGAATGGATCTGAACTTTCATTTCTAAATTCTGCTGTCACAAAATTCCATGCGTAAAAGGTAATATTATTCTCAGTCACGGGACAAAGGTTTCCTCTACAAAAATTCACCAAATCAACAAATTCGTGTTATTAAAATTTAATCTAACGATTAAAATTATTATACCTTTTAAAATCTGCCACTGTTTGTAGTTGTTAAATCAAATTTCAATGGTATCCTTGATTCGGTGAATTAGGAGGAAGGGATCCCTTTCCCTCTGCAAAACCCATCTCTCAATAGTTGTGCTGCTGAGTGAACCTAAATTATCTGTTGGGACTTTTTTACAAACAGGTTATCTGCATTAAAAATTTGACCCTTCAGGTTAATTGGGGTTTAAAGGTTTAATCTTTAGAGGTTAGTTGGCATTTTTGGATAAATCCCGGATGGGCCCCTGGTCCATTGCTGCAGTTTTGGAAGTTTCAGATATTATTTTTTCTTCTGGGTTTTTGCCTAGTTTAATTAGTTTTTGTTTCACATAATTAATTTTTTGTCCATCTGCATTGTAGCTACTTCTTGGTGGGTAGGAAGATTATACAGGTGTCTGCATCTCATGTGCTCTAAGCATGTTACTGAAGAAATCTATGTATTTGTGTATGGTTATCTGTCAAGCTGCATAATTCCTAGTTGTTTTTGTTTTTCTGAGGTGAGATATTTGGACTGGTTTTTGCCTCCCAGATCTGTTTTAGTATAAAGTTAGGCAAGTTAATTAAAAAAGATAGAATCTTTAGCCTTATTGGTTTTGCTTAGAATTTGCTCTGTGCAATTGCAGACTGCAAAAAAAGTATGTTTTTCAACTTGGGTGAGTGGATACTAGGGAATGGAGTTCTAGTTTAGACTCTAGAGAGAGAGAGAGAGAGAGAGAGAGAGAGAGAGATTTGTGAATTTTGAGGAAGATGAGATCCATAGAAGATAAGGAGATTTCTGGGGGTAGTGGTATAAATTTTGAGTTTCAGAAAGCAAATGGAGCTAGCAGGACACCCCATCACAGAACAGCTTTAGGCAAACCAACACCTTCCAAATGGGATGATGCACAAAAATGGCTGGTGGGATTGTCCAGAGTAGCAGAAAAAAACCAGTCCAAAACAAAACCCAGAAATTCAAATGCTGATGACTTGAGACTCATAGCTCCTGTGCCACAGAAGGAGCAGGACTATTCAGATGGAGAAGAAGAACATCACCAACAAGAAGAAGAAAATGGCTTTCCTGGGTCAGCTATGGCGAATCAGTACGATGTGGAGACGAAGAAAGTGGATTGTGATGATTCAGTGTGGAGAAGCAGCAAAAAATCTATGGAGAACTCGACAGCGGCTACGAGATCTATATGTTTGAGGGACATGGGGACAGAAATGACCCCTATTGCAAGCCAGGAGCCTTCAAGAACTACCACCCCTATCCGGGCCACAACCCCGGTGGCGCGCAGCCCTATATCTTCGGGGTCATCCACGCCGGTGAGGCCATGTCAGCATGGGATGCAAGGCACTCATCAGGGGTATCAAACATCCACTGATGGGGGGAGAAGTAGTCATGATCAGGCCAGTTCTTGTGGGAGAGGGAGCGGCACAGCGAAACGGTATGTAGAAGAATCAAATGCTTGCAGGGACATGGCTGAGAATCCGAGTTCAGATCAAGGTACAAAACCGAGTCCCTTGGAAACAAGGGCAATGGCTTGGGATGAAGCAGAACGTGCCAAATATATGGCAAGGTGAGGTTCTGATATTCTGTTTTGTTTTTGCTGGTTAATTATAGCCAGTTGCAGCTACTTTGAGTATTTTCAACGCCAATGTTGGGACTTATTGGGGCAATTGTTTATTGTATTTGTAGGTACAAGCGTGAAGAGGTGAGAATACAAGCCTGGGAAAATCATGAGAAGAGGAAAGCCGAGATGGAAATGCGAAAAATGGAGGTACTCATTCTTTAGATTCTGCCCAGATTTTGTTCTTCTCTCTGAAAATTTCTGTTTGTTCTACTTGTTTAGATCCTAGATTGAAATTGTGAGTTGGTCATTTTGTTCGCTATACATTACACAATTGTTGGTACCAAGTACTAGGAGCCAAATGTTCAGCTTCTCACCTCAGTCCAGAAAGAACTAGCATCAGCTCAGTTTTCTTTTCATGAAAAAGAACAATGCAGATCCAAATCAGTGACATTGGTTTCACATTTGCTTAGTTATTCTCCATCATTACAACGAAATAAACACAGTTAACCATGTGCCAGTTCCTACCGAAATGCAGCTTTCTGACTTGTAATTTCCGGTGTGCTACCCCAGGTGAAAGCGGAGAGAATGAAAACTCGGGGTCAAGAAAAGTTAACGAATAAACTCGCAGCAACAAGAAGAATAGCCGAAGAAAAGAGGGCGAACGCTGAGGCCAAACTCAACGAAAAGGCTTTGAGGACTTCAGAAAAGGCAGATTACATAAGGAGGACTGGTCACTTGCCCTCTACTTTCTCTTTCAAGCTGCCTTCTCTTTGCTGGTAGCAATCTCTTTAGTACAGTAACATCTACCATTTCTATTTCTTTTTTTCTTTCCTGTCACTTGTTGAATATGTAATCTGAACCCTGTAGAATTTTATCATATTTATTTATTTTTCTTATAATAATTTGGTACTCCCCAATTCACCAATATCATTTTTTTTTCTACAATAATTTTATTTTTTGGTTTGCAACCTTCTGTTCCAGTTAGTGGGATAAGACGTACGTTTATGTTGTTTGTATGCTTATGGGGGCGTCTGTGTTTGGTATGGAGGAAAAGCATGTAACTTGCTCTTGTCAAATCAATCTCGTGCTATTAAGAACATGATTACTAATCCGTCAAATCAGTCTCGTGCTATTAAGGACATGATTACTAATCCGTAATCGAATGACAAGGAGCTGGATTGGGTATGAATTTAACCCCTATGAATTTAACCAAGGAGTTAATGAAAGAAAGAAATATAGAACCTTCATCAGCTTCATCAGAGCGTTTTTTTACTCCATTTCAATCTATTTTGCCCTCTCACTCTTGTGTTCCTATAAAACGAATAGAAAATTCGGATCGGATAAGGCCAACCACAACATAAGAACGAGTAAAACAAGATAAAGAATCCCCTTCATTCTATGAACTTCTTTATTGTTTATTGAATTGAATGTTTGGTGTCAGAGCTCGTGAAGGGCCCGTAAACCATCATGACACAAGGGAACGGGAAGCGCAATAGCAACCCATAAGCTTTACTAATAGGGGCATTCCATTGATAACGATAGAAAGAGCGATCCACGGAAGCCATTGAAACCAGGATAAGAGCACTTTAACACGAACAGGACCGGGTCAGACATCGCCCTATTAGATAGCTCACGAGCACCATGCCAACTATTTAACAAAGAACATTTTGTTGTAACAAATAAGCAATTTTCTCATCAAGGAAAGTTGGTAAACTCGTATAGAAATCTAACTTACGTTACAAGCGAAAATTACGAATTTCAAATTCCTCCTTAACCAAAATAAGAAAAATTTCATTTGGGGTAAAGTCAAAAGTGAAGCAGTTACATATTCGCATGAAGAAGAGAGAAAAAAAAGATAGTGAAATAGTGAAACCCAACATTTGGTTCGTGAGAGATTTATATTGACAGCAAAATCATGATATTTCTAATCACGTGACGAGAGAAATATGAAAATACGACAGTAAAATTATTAAAAAAACATTTTGTAGAGAATTTGATACTAATACTTGGTAAATATAATGATTTATAAGAAAGATGATCAAACAATTACACTAAAAACTTTGCCGAGACAGAAAATCTTTTGATAGGGCAAAATAGTAGATAGTTTTTTCTTGGTCAAAAATTTCTGATGCTGAACAAAAATATTACCGGTAGGCGGGAGTCAACCGGTATTTTGCCAATTGAATAAATAATTAAAAACAAAAAAATAAAATAAAAGCAGGAAAATAAAGTTGGCGAAACCAAAAGCCCAATCCGATCTGAAGCACCCGCGTCCGCACTCATTTCCGTCTCCCTTCTCCTCCGTCTTCCTTCGAGGGCTTTCCTTTCGCTTACAATCGGCGGTCGCCGTCTCTCTCTCTTTGAAACAGTATCAATCAAATCTTTTCAAACCCTAACTCCCCCAATTGCACCTATATTTATCAATTTCTTAGCTTCCTATTCTTTTCTTGTTCAATTTCTAGGGTTTCCTTTCGAAATCGAATAATCTCCGTGGCTGCATAGCTCGTGAATTGAATAAGTAACTGGTACTGTTTTCTGCTCTATTGTTTGAAATTCGTTTTGTTTTTGGATCCGAGTCCGGTGGGACTTAGGGTTCGTATTCAATTTCTTCGAATTTTGTGATTTTTCAATTCAAATATTGGGGAAGTGATTGGTCTGATTTTGTGGGGGTTTAGGGTTAGGGTTTATAGCTGACTTGAATTGGGATAAGGGTTCTCTATTCCGTGGTGCTTTAGAGCTTTGGATATAGAGATTTATGGCTGCTGGAAGACATGGGGGTTATCGTGAAAATGAGTTCAGGGAACGAGAGTCCGGTTTTGAGTTGCCAAGAAAGGATTTTGCTACGGCCAAGGAGGACTATGAACGGATTAGGAACGGAAACCCTGATGTTGAAAGGGGTCAAGTTAGGGATTTGAGAGATAAAATTAGGGTTAGGCAGAAGGATTTTAAGGAGGGGAATGCGGCTAATGGTGGTGGGTATCGCTCCTCTTCGAGTAGGAGTGATTCAAGCAATAGCAGTGGTCGGGTTGTGAGCCGTGGGCCCAAGCCTTGTGGGTTTTCTCTTAGGGCATTGGACAGGGAACCTGGTGAATTGTCGAGTGAGAGTGGGTCTGACGATGCTATTGAATCTGCAGTGCAGGTCAAAGAAAATATGGTTCCAAAAGTGGTGGAGAATGGAACTCAGTCTCCGAAAGAGAGGAAAAGGAAGTTTTCGCCAATTGTCTGGGATAGAGATGACCAAGGAGTGAGTAATCTATCAAAAAATAGGATTACCACAGTGGCAGCAGCACTTCCTCCACAACCTCCATTGTCTAGGGTACATCATCAGTCTCCCAATGTTATTTCAGATAACAGCGTACAAATATCTTCAGCTAAAATTGATCAAGTCGAGAATTTACAATCTTCCTCACCAGTTAAGGCACCGGTGGGATCTCGGTCTGTTAGCAATGGTGTTTCTGAGTCTCCATTAGGGATATCTTCAACAAATCAGAAATCGGGTGATGATCATGAAGCAGAGCAGCTAGGAGATGAAGAATATGTTCCCACCCGGAATATATCATCTTCAAGATGGGCAGCAGGAAATAATTCACCTGGGGATGAAGGTGAAATTCTAGAGAACAAGGAAATGCCTAAAAGGAGGAAGAAAATACCTCTGGTAGGGTTAGTGGAAGATAGAGTACAGAATAATTCATTAACCCCCGAGTCAGGGGAGCTTAAGAGAGACGAGTCTGAACGAGCAAGAGGGCAGTCATCTGAATCTGATGAAGGAGATGCCCATACAAGGTCTTCCAGTAGGGATGTTTACCAGGATAATGATTCAGAGAGGGATGACTATATGGACACTGACAAGGATCTTGGTAATAATGATTCTAGTGTTAGTCAGTCAGAAACAAATTCAGATGATGACAATAACTCTCGTGAGACAGCTGAACCTGCAGCCCCTCCACAAAGAAGTGTAAACATGCTTCAGGGTTGTAGAAGTGTTGACGAGTTTGAGAGACTAAACAAGATAGATGAAGGCACTTATGGTGTTGTATATAGAGCTATGGATAAGAAAACTAAAGAAATTGTGGCCTTGAAGAAGGTAAAGATGGAGAAGGAAAGGGAAGGTTTTCCATTGACTTCTCTTAGGGAAATAAACATTCTTCTTTCGCTTCATCACCCATCAATTGTCGATGTGAAGGAAGTAGTGGTGGGGAGTAACCTTGATAGTATTTTTATGGTGATGGAATACATGGAACATGATCTTAAAGCACTCATGGAGACAAAGAAGCAGCCATTCAGTCAGAGTGAAGTTAAATGCCTTATGCTCCAGTTATTAGCAGGTGTGAAATATCTCCATGATAATTGGGTGCTTCATCGAGATTTGAAGACATCAAACTTGCTTATGAATAACCGGGGTGAGTTGAAAATATGTGACTTTGGGTTGGCTCGTCAGTATGGGAGTCCTTTAAAACCATATACTCATTTGGTGGTTACTCTTTGGTACAGGTGAGCTGCAACTGCCCATTGCTCTTTATTTTATTTTTCATTTCATCCTTAGGTGTTTTACGCTTATCAGTTTAACCTATTACTTCATCTTTGATTTTTTTTTTAATTGGTTGACGACTTCCACTTTGATTTTCAAGATTGACTTTATGGTTTCATGGTTTTTTCTACTGTTATTGGATTCAGTTCTTTTTATTCTCAAGTAATTTGTCTGTTCAATTAGCTTTGTATTCTTGGTATCTCTCCTTGTATTTCAAGGTTGATTCCAACTCAGCGTATGTTAGTCATGATGGGTTTAATGTGATAAAAACCATTGATCTAACTGGTCCTGTTTTCCACAATTGTCTTTCCTCTGATTTTTGTTTTTTATGTGTGGGTTATTGTTTGCCTTTTAACTGTGTGCTTGTGTATGTGTATGTTGTACGTAGATCCATGCTTCTGTATACCCTTGGATGTTCTAGTCATTGATGCTCTTTCAATGCAGGGCACCGGAACTTCTGTTGGGAGTGAAGGAATATTCAACAGCTATCGATATGTGGTCACTTGGTTGTATCATGGCTGAACTATTATCAAAGGAGCCACTTTTCAATGGGAAAACTGAATTTGATCAACTTGACAAGGTAAGTTAATTTTATTTGACGTGCTTGATGTTTGATTACGCTCTCACTCACTCATATACTGGTGGATTTAGTTATTTTATTTTTATATAATCACCACATTTCTCAAAAAAAAAAAAATTATAATAACTGCAGATTTTTAAAATCCTTGGCACACCAAATGAGACGATCTGGCCCGGCTATTCCAAGCTTCCTGGAGTGAAGGTCAACTTTGTTAAGCACCCGTAAGTATGAATATATTCATGAACTGATTCCCAATTTTTTTTATTATGACATCTTGGTGTTCTTATTCTTGCCGCTGTTTTCCCAGGCTTCCAGCTTTGGGTGATTCTGATGTGGCTATCTGGCCTCCATTGGTGATGCTTTCAGTTCTAAGTTTTTCATTTATGCATTAACTTCTGATCTGTTTCTTTCAGGTATAATCTTTTGCGCAAGAAGTTCCCAGCTACGGCATTTACTGGATCTCCAGTACTTTCTGATGCTGGGTTTAATTTGTTGAACAGGCTTCTAACTTATGATCCTGAGGAGGTAAGTCTGCTACCTAGACTTGCCTTGTTTGGGTATTATTGGTATAGTTACTTAACATGCACTGTATTTTATACAGAGAATTACAGCTGGAGATGCTCTGAATCATGAGTGGTTTCGTGAAGTTCCTCTTCCTACAACAAAGGAGTTCATGCCTACCTTTCCTGCTCAACATGCTCAGGACAGGTACCTTGATCTATCTAATGCTACAAATAAATCCCGCGTGTACTTGGGACTTGATTTCCTACATTTAACAAATTTCATGTTGTAAATAGGCGCACACGGAGAGTTTTAAAGAGTCCAGATCCTTTGGAAGAGCAACGTAGAAAGGAGTTGCAGCAAGGGCAAATAGGAACTGGTGGTGTGTTTGGCTAGTAGAAATGAATCAGTGATCAGCGCCCTATTGCACATGGCTGAGGTGAGAGACATGCTTTGAACGGAAGTTGCAAACGTTCTATGTCAGACGATCATTTGTGCTGTTTTTTAGCAGGCATTTCTTCATGATTTGGTTGGAGAATGTATTATTGTATGCCTTCCCTGTCAACCAAGATTTGTTGCAGGTCAACTTTGCCTCTCATCTTTGATCATCATATAAGAATGCATCTGTGACATTGCTTTCATTGCATGGTGTGGCTTAATTGCCTTTTCTTTAAAGAGGATCAGTTTCAACTGAAACTTGTGTATGTAACCTATTTTCATTGGTACATTGTAAACAGCGCTCTTTTGCTTTTCAATATTAGCACTGCCAGTTATATTAGGACATATTTAATATTCACGTTGTGTTTGCAAGAGGTGGTAGGTGTAAAGTGGAGGGGCGTTCTTTACTTTTCCTTGATGAAGAGTTTGTCAGTTACCATATTATTTTTAAAGGTAATATGTTAATCTCTGATATATGTGGAATGTTCTGGGGGATGAAGATTTTAAGCCATACGGGGATTATTTGATTTTAATATAGACAGTGTATCCATTTTAAAACATTTGTTGGAGAGTGAACATATGTCTTTTCAGTAGCTTCTTGAAAGTTAAAGCCCTTAAAAGATGTATAAAATTCATTGCTGCACCTGACTGGTTGCATGGTAATTTTATCTTTCTGATTGATGTGCACGAGAACTGTAACTATTTCCATTCTCTTTTGTACTGGGTAGGAGCCGAGTTTTTCAGATATCAACTTTATTGCTTGCTTAGTGTAGTTCTTCTATTTGCAAATTTTCAGTGAGTTCATAGCAAATTGAGTCTATTCTATGGTTACCCTGTGTTGGTTTAGTGGTTCATTCTTTATTACTTAAGTGGCCTTCTTAGCGTCATTTTTGGTATTTTGACCTCCATCAGTACCCGTGGACATGAAAAACGATTCACTTTGTCCAGTTATTCCCGTTTTTGCTTCTGGTGGCGTGAAGAATCAACATTTCACCAGTTGTAGATTTTTTTATGACGTATATCTGCGCATGTCACTGCAGTATCAAAGCAAGCAAATTGAGGAGGTTTCCTGCACTTCCAGGAATTTATAGAACTTCAATTAGTTGTTCCTACTGGCAAACTAGAGGTACTATGCAAAGCCTAATGGTTTTTTATGTGAATTATTTTGACGGCATTTTAGTGTATGCTTTTTCTTTTGTTTTTCAGAAGAGTATTGAGAAATGCGTTAGAAAGGAAAATGAAGAATAAAAACCAATTCTGGTTGCAATTCCAGGACAGTTCATATTCCAATTCTGGTTGCAATTCCAGGACAGTTCATATAATTGAATAAAATTCAATGCTGCTTAAAATCGGAATGCATAGACTGAAATGGTAGTTGTACTAGCCATATAAACATATTTTGTAATCTAGCACTTTCTTTTGTGTGTTCGTCTTGTTTCATGCATTTTTCAGAGGACATAAATGAGGGTATGAATTCTGGTCCAAGGTATTCTATATGAACAACGTTGACAAGCTAATGCCTGTATCTTTAGGAATACTTGGGTTTGGTTCTCATACACTATCTTGTGAAAACTTAGAGCATTATACGAGTCTTTTTCTTTGGATATAAGTTAGTGCGATGGTGTAATTAGTTTGAAACTGCTGTTTACAAGAAGTTACGATTTGGGCACGTTTATGTTGGTCTGCTAATGTGTAGAGATGACCAACTCAAAGCATATAGACTATGGTTTATAACTTTATATACATGGTTTGGAGGAAACTCCAGCTGATTTTCCGCCAGTTGTGCTGTGTCTTGATTTTCTGCATGTGTTATTATAAATATGTGTGTTGGTCATTTGGAGATGTGATTATGATTGCAAAATGACTATTCTGTACCTTGATATGGACTCTCAGTATGTAACGACCCTCGTCGGCATATGGTGCAACGTTTATAGTTTTGTATCCATAAATGGGTTTCCTGAATTTTTATCTTTAATGAATAAGAGGATGCTCCTTATCTGATACTTGGTTGTTGCTTATTTGTGTCGTAATTTCATTATAGGCATGGCTGGAGTCGAATGGGTTGCTTGAAGACGGAATATAGTTGTTCGCTTCCCATTCACTTAACCAAATATCGTATGAGGAGATCCTAGGTGGAATATAGACATAGTTTGCCATATATTGTCTGCAGGTGGGGGGCTGATGAGGTTCGACAGGCAGATTAGGGCGGTAGAGGCGTTTCCCGCGCACGTACAGGTATTGGCTGATGAAGTTTATGCACGATCACAGCTATTGATCTGCCTATGTGCGACTCAAATTCTGTTCCACATGACCGAAAATGTTAGGTTGTTTTTGGGCGCTGAGCAGTCAGTAGGGTATTGATGTCATTCGTTTTCGATCCATTCCAAATATTTGATGTTTAGTTTACGCTGTATTCTGTGTCGCGCGGCAAAGAAACCTTGGTACCGAGGTGAAAATTGTTGCAATTGGGTTCGGCAGACGTGTTGGTCTTTTGGAAGGTGCACAGCAAATGGGCGCTGTGCTGCCTCGTCTCAAAGGATGTCTTCCTTTTTTCTGGCGGATGGTGCAATCCTCTTCGTTGCGTTCCTTTTTGGTTTCTGTTTGTAAATAATAACTCGACTTACCTGTCCGAGTTACGTGTTCGCATTTTAGCTTGTTGCACGACAATCCGAAACTCTGAGGACAGCTTTTGCAACTTCAAAACTTTAGAGAACCTTCGGTGTCTATAATTTCACCCACCTTTAAAAGTTCAGAACTGAAATGTTATTTTTTCACCCACTATTATCCTTAAAATAGCTCCTCCGACGACAATTTACCAGTAATTGAATGACCTTCCAAAATACTCTGCTGCTATGTGATTAAAAACTTCAATAACTACCATCAATATCCAATCACTATTAGTTGTTGGCTTCTTACCTTTTAATTAGAAAGGGCATCCGCATTTATTCATTTTAGAATTCCTTTTATCCTCATCCTTCGTGTCTTTTTTTAGAATACGGTTTACGTTTTGTCCATTCCTTTCAGAATCCAATGTAAGTTTAGGCTCATGTTTTCTTTTCGTGCCTAACCTATTATTATTATATATCTTGTAAGATCTTTATCGGCCGTTTTATAAATGAGCAAACTTGTAATTAAAAATTTTATTAAAAAATGAGTGAGGAGATAAAGGCATTGGAGTGAGAATAACAACACTCTTTATTTATTACATGGAGATACGATTACGAAAAACACGAACTCTCGACCAAAATAAATAATCTTCTCCTATGTTTTCGGTATACAAAGAAGCAGCATGATTTCGGTATTTCGAATGCAATCAAATAATCAAATAATCAACAATCAAGTATACAAAGAAGCAGCATGATTTCGGCATTTCGAATGTAATCGAAGAGACGACGCTGCCAAGCAGAACAAATCTACGATTTAGGCGCGAATCTGTAATTCCAACCAAAGAGATGAAGGTGCAAACCGAAAAAGATCGACATATGTGGGCGTTGATCTTTAACTTCATTTGTGCAGGTTGATTTCACGACGCTAATGTGGCCGTGGATCGAGCGGCGTGCATCACGTCGACGTGAAAACTAATGTCTTTCCAAGAACAAAGGTGATCAAAGACAGTTCAATGAAGAAAATTGTGTTGAGGAGGGCTCTGTCGACTGTCCATCCAAAAATTGTGATCCCCCCATGATTGGTTTGCAAGTATGACACTGCATTGGAGAACAAAGGGAAAATCATGAGACAATTGAAAACCAATGGAACTGAAGAGATAATGTACATAGAAAACCATATATGACACAAAATTTTGGCACGCGATCCATCCATAGCCAACTGATTTCAATTAGAAAAGATGGAAAATATACTTCGATTCCAATAAAACAAGAAATTTACAACTGGTTCGTGTTCATATGCATTGTTAGACTAATTTCTAAAGTTAAAAAATGTTGCTGGAAAAGGAATCAGATGTATTTTAGAGGCTGTGTAAGCTGATCCATACCAAAAGCTTGTCTCCTGTGATAGGAAGACATGTATGAAGCTAACTGTGTATTTGTAGGCATTGGAACGTAATCCATCGACTCCAAGTCACTCTCGGAGTAGCTTATTTGCAGCGAGTTCAATGTGTCGGCAGCCTCTGGGTTCACCAAGCAGTTTGAACTTCTGTTGTGAGATGTATCGTTAGAACTGCATGTCATTAACGCATGCCATCTACTGGCAACTGTCGCTATGCCTTGCGCTCTATGGGAAATTCTGGTCGCTGCGTGCAGGGAGAGAATAATGCCAACAACTTGAACAATTGTGGAGACCTGAAATTTTGGGGGAAAAAAGGAGGGAAATTCAATGCGTTATGGTTTGAATCTAAGCTTGTAAGAGCGAGAAGTTAATTTACTGATACATACACAAAAAGCATTGAACTTACTGCAAAATCGCCACCATTTATGACAGTGATGTCTCCCCTGTATTCTGTGGTCTCAAATAGAGTGACAACCTGGCTTGCGGTGACAACCATGAACTGCAGGAGAAGGAAGATTCGGAACCTGTGACTTATTTTACAGAGATGGTAGCGCAGACGAATATGCTCGTCCATAAATACCAGCACATCAGATTCCCTTTCCAGGAGCCTTGCATAATCGTCGAAGTGGATAACTTGCAAATTGCAGACCAAGTGAAACAAAATGCTGGCTGTTAGAGTGATTGTACTCACATAAGCCCATGATAAACAAGTTACACCAGATTTTCCCACCCCATGAATCGTGATGGACGTATATCATGCGGACGACCTCACGCAGTGTCTTCAAAAAAAACGCAGTCCAAAAAGCATCGAAAAATAATCCTGAAATTCAAATAAACAGATGAAAACAACTAATGACAAGAAATTTGGATGCTGCAATAGTTAAAGAAAAAAAGGCAAGTTACTACTCAGAAGGGGTACAGTAAAAAAGATGCATATCCTATTCCTATAGCATTAAAAAACAAGCTGAAATTGAGAGAATGCGATAATATAAGAGAAGATTTCGAAATATGTTAAAAGCAGCCTGTACATCAAATTAGCACAAGAAAATATCATCATGCTGAATTTTGGTAAGCACGTTATGTATAGATATAAGAAGAATTTTGAAGGTTCCCATATCATCACATTTGAAGTTGATGTAAGGAAAATAAGAAGTATAAAATGCTCCATAACACTTGCCAATAACATATAGAAGAAGAAATGATAATTATTGATACAAACATGAAAGCACAACAGCATGTTTGTAAAACTATCAAGTAAATCATTTCAAGCTATGAACATACCTTAATCTGCTTGATGTAATCGTTTCGAAACCGAACGATATGACCGCTATAGCGATCGACGAAGAACCTCCGAATGCCATATTTGCGAAGCCTGGGGGAGATGCAGAGCACAGAGACCGCTGCCAGAATCGCTTGCGAGCCCACGATAACGATCTCGAACCTTTTAATCTGATACTTCTTACAGTCGGAGCAGTTGAACACCACAAGCACAACCACCGGAAGAGCCACACCGATGAGAGCCAGAGCCGTCCAGGACAGGGCAAGGCTCAACCAAGAAGATTGGTTGAAGCCCAAGAGAGTGAGAAACGTTTCTAGCCATTGGAGGGTTTGGTCCAATGGGGTATCTTTGAATTCTTCTTCTCCTCCCAGATGACGGTTGCTGTGGGGATCGATGTGGTGGTCGTTGTTATTGTTATTGTTATTAGAATCGAGAAGAGGGATAAGTTGGGAAGGTGGCTCCTCTGTTTTTATAAAAACGTCCGCCATGGATGGATTATGAGCTTAATTATTGAGCTTAAAGCTGAGATTATGGTGGGCTTAGAGATAAAATGGTGGCAACCCAGTTGAGATTTTGGTGCTTTAAATAGGAAAGTTGGAAGCTTTTTACAAATTAGTTTACAGGCTCAGTCTGTCGTCGGGTTAAAGAAATAGAGATCAAACCCAGGTTTTTTTTCTTTTCCTTTTTTTCCTTCCTAAATCTTCGATATTTGTTCCGAAAGCAATCAAATAAAAGTAAAACTATATAATATGATTTTTCGTTAAAGTGACAGTACCAGAAGCATTAATGAAAATGATTTGAAAACTTTGAGTTTTAACGATAACAACAAAATAAAGGGTAAAATGAATAGTACTAGTATTGATTTTTTTAGTGTAAAAATATAATATTTCGTTAAAATAAACAGTATCAAAAGTTTTTCGTTAAAGTTCTATAAAATAAAAGCCGCAGACAACGAAATGCATCGGTTTAACGAAGTTGTTTAAAGCAGTATATTACAATTTTTCTCAATTCTTAATTTCACCGTACATCCTTAAATAAAATAATATAATTATCTTATCATTTGTCAATTTAACACTTAGGAATATACTTAACCTAGAGAACTGAAAATTGGAACTTTTTTTTCTGCACTCATGTTTCTCAAACTACAGAATTTCTTTGACTCTTTTCTTTGCACAACTCTCTGTTCCTCTTTAATTTTTGTTCTGGAATTCTTCAATGGCAAGAGGTCCACTTGCCGATGCAGTGCCCGCATGAGCGGTAGGTCTCGGGTTCGAACTTGGGAGCAGCCTCTCCATAAAATGGGGTTAGCCGACATTCACCTCTCCCAGACCCATGCCGTAAAGCAAGCCTTGTTGACTGACGTACACCTTTTAATTCTTCAATGGCAAGATAAACAGATGATTGAGCGACAGGTACGGGGATCAAAAGGGACAGAAAGTGACTCGCAACGAGTGTGCAACAAGTGTCGGATCTATAATCTTTGTATATGGTTTTGTTTTTCAGATTTTAGAATGACACCATACTCTTGTCGAACTCGAATAATTCCTTTCCCGCCAAATAAAAAACATGTTCGGCCGAGTTATAGCCGGACACGAAGAGCAATCGCTGATGTCATCATCACATGAGATTATCACTAACTAAAGCTATTAAGCACGTTAGGAGTTAATGCGATCTTGATTGGGTTTAAGGTTAATTAATGGTGGGATCGGTGATTAGGGAGAGGTTAGAGTGTGGAGAGATTTTTGTTTCAGTGTATCGATCATACGAAATGGTAATCCATCAGTAATCCCTATATAAATGGTTATGTATGTTAAAAGGTTAATAACTTAAAAATTAAAAATTTTCACCACTTGCATAAAAACACGTGATGTATCATCTGTGTTCTTATCACAACTAAAAATTTCTCGGGAGTGTGGAGTGGTTTGGTTGAGTGAGTTGGAGATGGCAAAGTGAAATGATTGAGATGTTGATGCTTTTGGTGTAGGTGGAGATAAGTGGAATTTTAAATAGAAAAAAAAGATTTTCGTGCAATAATATCATTCAATGTAATAATGTACGATAATAAATCTTTCACGTATAATGATAATTTAAAAAAAATTAACGACAAGTTTAAATAGTGAACGGATTAAATTTATTAGAAAACGTAAAAAAAAATTTGAATAATAAAACAATACTATGCAAATTGATACAGCAAACGATGATTTAATACCCACATCAAGTCTTGGCGTTGCTAGCTACTCTAGTTGGAAACGTAATTCGAAAAACAAAAAAGCAAATATATAACAATTCGAGATAAAAATCTCATTGCTCTATGTGAAAAATCATATTAATGCTCGTAAAAAAGAACCTTGCTCATATTTTCATAGTCGTCAAGCTGAGACCATTTTGCACAAACAATATCGCCAATTTTTGTGTGTGTATCAGAAATGCATCATGATCTTGAGTGGGGATTAGGCCCAATTTGGAGCTTGAAGCTCAAATCTGTAATGTTTGAATTTTTCTATTTTTACACTTGTCAAAATGATCTTCGATCCACATTTTGGTTGACCCTAAAAATTATAAAGCCTATGTGGCGTACATATTGAGTAACTATGAGCTAACTACGTCATTCTTGTAGATACGGATGTGCCAACTAGCAACCTAGCTAGGTCAATCTGTTAATTCAGGCCCAAACAATAATTATTGGGCCAGCCCATCTAGGCCCAATTTGTTAATTCAGGCCCAAACAGTTTTACATCAGTTATATTCTTCGGAGGAAACTGACATACATTTGGTAACAATTAACAAGTTTACTTCGTCATGCGGTTGATTTTATATGTCAACTAGCTCTTAATTCATCTTTTCTTATACTAGAATAGGTTCTAAATTCGAACTCTTGTTAGTAAAAAAACAAAATAATGAAGAGGGTCTCACAAACTTTTTCTTAATAAAAAAACTTCATTAAAATTTACTAATAATAAGGATAAAAAAATGATGACATTTTTGGAAATATGTGAAACGTTAGTGACGCCGACTGTTTATGCACGACTATGTCAATTGTTTGTGCACGATACCCAAACTTTAACTTATTTACAAAAATGCCATTGACTTTTTTTAAGTTCAAGTTATTTACAATGCTAACACTAAACTTCAACTTATTTACTAAAATACTACCACCTTTTTTTGTTTTGTTTTTGTTATTAATAAACTTTCATTAATTTATTTTTAATCTTAAAGGCTTTTCATTAAAGTTTCCATTAAAAAATAGGAAAACTAATTAAAATGACTTGAAAACTTTGAGTTTTAATGATAAGGACAAAATAAAGGGTAAAGTGAATAGTATCAGGATTGACTTTTTAGTGAACAAAATCTTCATGTCTTCTCTTATTTCTTAATGTTGTCTTGTATAACAAGACAATGTTAGGGAGACTAAATGCGTAGACTAAACTTTGCAAGCTAAACGACGTGGAAGTTGATGATTGAATTATTACTTAAGTGTTGATTAATATGTTTATTTCTTATTGGTGACATTTTGTGTGTAGTTTGTAAATTTAGTTTCGGTAGCAACTCCCCTCCTTGTAATATTACAACACATGTTGACGAGGATAAGGACGTCACACCGGACGTGCATGCACATGCATGGTTTTCAATAAAGTTACTGATAGTGAAATTTTGTACTATGCTCTCTTACCTACCATCACTAGAAACTAAAACGTGACGACTTATTGGACAAATCACAAACCTAATTACCTACTTAGTATCCAATCCCAATTTTAATACCTCCATTTCCAATCCAAATCCTGAAACCTCAACCTCAAACTACTGAAACAAAAATGGCGACTCAACAGAAGGGCAGTAGCATTGATCCAAAGAGTGGGTTTTGCTCAAAGACCAAGACTTTCCACAGCCTGAGACCCAAATCCCAACTCCCTCCCCAAACCACGCCTCTTTCCCTCACCCACTACCTTCTTTCCCACCTCCACCATTCCCCTCCCCTGCCTTCCACTCCCGCCCTCCTCGACGCCGCCACCGGCCACCGTATTCTCTACCCCGAGTTCATTTTTCGAGTCCGAACCCTCGCCGCCTCGCTTCAATCCCAGCTCGGCCTCTCCCACGGCCAATGTGCCTTGGTTCTTTCCCCCAACTCCCTCCACCTCCCCATCCTCCACCTCTCTCTCCTCTCCCTCGGTGTCATCGTCTCCCCTTCCAACCCCGCCAGCTCCAGTCCCGAAATTTCCCGCCAAATCCGCATATGCAAGCCCGCCGTCGCATTCGCCACCTCCGCCACCGCTCAAAAAATTCCCAACTCCCTCCGCCTCGGGACCATCCTCCTTGACTCGGCCGAGTTCGAGTCCATGATGATGACATGTCCGAGTTCGACCGAATCGCTTCGAGTTGAAGTGAAGCAATCGGACACCGCCACGATTCTCTACTCATCCGGGACCACCGGGAGGGTCAAAGGTGTGGAGTTGACTCACCGGAACTGGATATCGATGATGGCCGGCATCCACGCGGTTCGAAACCGGTCGGCTCCACACGCTGTGTGTCTCTGTACGGTGCCATTTTTCCACGTGTACGGGTTCGCGTACTGCCTGAGAGTTTTGGTGACGGGGGACACACTGGCGTGGATGGGAAGGTTCGATTTAAAGGTGATGATGAGATCCATCGAGCGGTTCCGAATCGCCCACATGGCCTGTGCCCCGCCGGCGGTCGTGGCCTTGGTGAAGCACGGAGACATAAACGAGATGGACGGCTACGATTTGAGCTCCCTGCAAGTGATCGGCTGCGGCGGCGCTCCGCTGTCGAAGAGTGTGGTCGAGAAGCTGAGGAAGCGGCTGCCCAACGTACAAGTCTCACAGGTTAGGGTGTGATGTGTACATATTTTCGATGAGTTCAAGTTTTAACGACGTTTAATGTGTTGTCGTTTTGTCCAACTTTGGGCCGCGTGGTGGGCTGTGTAGGGATATGGGATGACGGAGACGACGGCCCGAGTGTTTGGCGCGCTGGGCCCGGAAGAAACCCGAGTGGAAGGAGCTAATGGAAGGCTGATGTCAGATATTGAGGCCAAGATTGTGGAGACTGAGACTGGCAGTGCCCTGCCTCCTTTGATGCATGGGGAAATTTGGGTTAGAGGACCATACGTTATGAAAGGTAATGTTGATATTCACATGGTATTTATTTGCAGATGACGTTCTTTCTTTAATTATTAGACAAGAGATTTTGATATAGCGTTAGAAAAACTACATTTGACAACAAGAACGGACGCCCTGCACAACAAATATTTACGATCTACAATGCTGAAACGAAAAATCGACAGTGGAATACAAGTTTAGGGAAGAAATTGATAGTGAATTAACGGGAAATTGATAGTGGAGTACTAGTTCATGTTTGACGGGTGGCGGTGATTATTTTAAGGATCATTTTGGTTCCGGTCCCTAATCAACCTAATTGTTAGACTGAAACCTTATTTGTTTGAATATTTTGATCAAGGTCCTTAGCCTCATTTAAGATATTTAACTCATGCATTTATGCGTTTAATGTCTCGAAAATTATGAAATTTAAACAAATTCAAATAATATTTTTAATTATAATAAATACTTAAAAATCAATATTGTTCTTCACAACAAATTATAGCAAAAAAATAATGTACCCACATAATTAATGTAGGTTACA